ACCCCTGTGAGCTTAGTTGATCCTGTCCCGAGTTCCTCTCATTCCCACCTTTTCCGTTTTAGGTTTGCTGAATGTTAAATTACAGGGGAAGCCTCCGATCTCTGGTTCTCAGCTCTGTCCTTTCAAGGAAATCTTTCTGCCTGGGCGCTGTCCTTGAGTCCCAGGATAACCACTCTGTGCAGTCGTCTGAGTCTGTGGTGTACCCCAATACCCCCAGTTCCTCTCTGAAGCAGGCCTGTCCTCAAGCCAGGAGCTCAAGAAATGTAATGAACCATCCTCATTCCCCCATCTTAGTGCAATCTCCTGGAGCATCTGGGATACTTCCTCCTCCTTTTTATTTTCTAATTTATTGTTGGTTGGGACCACTCTGGGCCAATCACATCGCCCCGGTGAGCACACTTTGGAGATAACAGATTTCATTCATCTGCGGACTTGGACAAGGCAAGCCAGGCATTTCTGTGAGGGTGGTTTGGGATAAGCTTTCCATTGAAAATGGTGGACTTTGAATGGAGCAAATTACTCTCGAGCCTGTGATAGGACTCACCCGATCTGTTGAAGGTCCTACCCTTCCCCAGGCAAAAAAATGGTTTCTGCAGCACACTGCCTCCAAACCTCTTCTGGCTCTTCCTGGTTCAACAGCTGCTGCCTTTGGGCTCAAACTAAACTCCTGCCTGAATCTCCACCCTGCTTGCAGTTCCCTTTAATCTTTGGAGTCATCAAGCCTCCCTAAGGCGCAATAAAGCAATTTCTAAAAAACAAACATCTTTCCAGACAAACACAAGCACACTCACATTAGCTCTGTTGATATGTTATTGGAAAGATCATTAGCAATGCAGGTAATGCATTCATTAAAAAAAAAAAAAAAAAAAAAAAAAGACTTTAAAAATGTGGTCACGTCACACCTTCCACAATCAAGGACCCCAACCTGGAAGCTTTTAGGTGTCTGAAATTATTATATGTTCAGATGTAAGGTGGCTTTTTTTCTTAATAAATTATTTATTTTTTTATAGTCATGTGTGTGCAGGTCAGAGGACAACTTTTGGGAGTCCTTCCACCACATGGGATTCAGGAATTGAGCCTGGGTTAACAAACTTGTCAAGGGCACCTTTAGCTGTCTTGCTGGCACCGGGTACAAGCTTTTGCAAGCAAATAACTCAATGAGTTTTTTTACGATATTTCCACTGATACAAAACGTCATTGATAAGAACACATATAGTTCAACTTTCTCTGAACTTAATGAATTAAAATACATCTCAGCTTTAGCATAGTCATTAACACATACACACACACATGCACACATATGTAGACAAGGCTGTTCTCAAACTCACAGAGATCCACCTGTGAGTGACTTCCAAGTTCTGGGGTTAAAGGTGTCTACCAACAAGCCCAGCAGTCTCTTTCTATTTAGTCATTTCTCTCATAGCTAAAAGGTCTTATTTGAAAAGAGACTCCATTGCCAATTTCACGTATAAATAGCAGCCTGGGCAAAAGGAGATATTTATAAGATAATATCCACCTCCTCATCAGAATGCTTTAATGTCTGTCCTTTTACAGGTGATACTGGACATGGAAAAATGTCTTATACAAAGACCTTTTCATAGTGGCTTGTAAGCTACCATACTCAGCGTCCAAGGAGGATCCTTTATTGAATACCTACTAAGCATGTAACAGAAGAGTACCCGCATAAACCTGTTATTCTCGCAACAGATCTGTTAGGTGGTACATTAAAAAGAATCCGTCTGAACTTCTCCCTCCCTGATTCCCAGGAAGGAAACTAAGTCTTCAGGACTTGAGAAGTGATCCGAGTGTCTGGAGGCCTTCGGTGTGTGAGGCCCTCTGAGTGTCTGAGTTGATGTTAATGAAGTGACACAAGCGACGTCTGTTCACACAGGGAAAGACCAACCATGCAGTTAAAGAGCTGGAGCTTTTGGGCTTGTGACGAGAGTCAAACTGGGGACAACGGAGCTGGGGGAGGGTGGGAGCTGAGTGTGACTACGTGACTACGTGACTGGTGACTCGTGCAGTCTTGACCCTGAGGTGAAACAGAGGTAGAAACTCTAGCCAGCCATGCCATTCTAAATGTGCAGTCACTGATCCCAATCCTAAACAGTGCCGCTCAGGCCTCCTCAGCGCCTGGGTAGCAGCAACTCTGGGCAGTGACGCTCAGGTGGACTTCCTGGTTGAAAGCCAACTGCTGTGGACTGGATGTTACACCACTCCAAAATGCATGGGCTAGAGTCTCAATACAGTGGTACTTAATACCACTCAATTGCATACTTCAAAATTTCCAACATGGTTAATTCCATCCATATATAACCACATTTTTTTTAAAAGTGCAAGAACTGTACACATGAATGAATCAGATACATCCTACTGAGTGAAAGAAGACAGAGTTACAAGGCCACGTGCTATGTGATACCCTTGGTGTGGCATGCTTACACAAGTATAAGTTGTCTGGCACTGGCACCAGAGCAAGGGCTGGCTATAAAGGCTACTGGAGAGTCAGGATGAGTTATGACACTTGACTGCAGCAAGGCTTGTATGGCTACAGACTTTCGTTAAAACTCAGAACTGTACACTAAATAAAATGATCTTCGCTATGAATAAATTTTACTATAAATAAATCTGTCCTATACATCTTCTATAGCTGTAACAGAAAACCAGAGAGAGATATTTTTTTTTAAGTTTATTTTGAGTCATCACTCTAGAGGCTGGAAGTCAAAGAACACGGCACCACATCTACCTTCAACTTATGGTGGGAAGGGAAAAAACAAGCAGAAGCTAGTGAAGGAGGGAGAGGGTGGTGGCTAGCCCATTTCCAGGAGGAAGGTATTGGTCCGTTTGTGATGGCTCCATTCCCATGACCCAAATACATCCCATAGACCCTACCTCCCATTACTGCTGCCCAGGAATAAAGGCTGCAAAACGCATCCACTAACGGGTGGGGTGTGTGTGACAGCTTTAATTTGTCGACACAACTAGAATCACCTGGGAAGAGAGCCTCGCTGAGGAACCACCCACATCGTCGACTGCAGGCATGCCGGTGGGGAGCTGTCACAGTGAAGTTGTTTGATGTGGGAAGGTCCAGCCCACTCTGGGTGGCACCGTTTTCCAGACGAGGGCTCCTTCACCATATATGGCGGACAAACTGCAAGCAAGCAAAGCAAATGCACATGTGTGCATCTCTTTTTCTCTGCTCTTGACTGTGGGTGTGATGTGACAAGCTATTTGAAGTCCCTGGTTTGACTTTTTCTCTCTGATGATGACCCGTGACCTCGACTTGCAAGCTGAAATAAGCCCTTTTGTCTTGCAAGCTGCCTTTGTAGGTTTTTTTTTTT